TCCCCGGAGCTGGAGGCCCGACGGGGGTCCCTGTGGGGTCCCAGGGTGAATTTTGGGCTCCTGGGGGTGTTTTAAGGTGGTTTTTGGAGGTCCCAGGGTGGATTTTGGGGGTCCCGGGGTGGTTTTGGGTGGTTTTTGGGCTGACCCCTCCCTCTCTCCCCACAGGGAGAGGGTCCTGATGGCCGGGGGGGTCTCCCCCCGGAGCTGGAGCCCGACGGGGGGGTCCCCGTGGGGGTCCCAGGGTGGATTTTGGGTGGATTTTGGGGGTTCCAGGGTGATTTTTGGGGGTTCCAGGGTGGTTTTTGGGGGTCTCAGAGTGATTTTTGGGGTGACCCCTCCCCTTTTCCCCCTGCAGGGGAAGGGTCCCAGGCCGGGGGTCTCCCCCGAGCTGGAGCCCGACGGGGGTCCCCGTGGGGTCCTGCGGGTCCGGGGCGCGGCGGGACCTGGGGGTCCCTGACGAGTGCCGGGTGGATTCGGGTCCCGCCTCGCCCGCGCCCTCGTCCGGCTCGTCGTCACCTGTGAGGAGGGGAGGGGCTTGGCGGGGGGAGGGCTTAACTGGGAGGAGGGGCTTAATTGGGGAGGGAGGGGCTTGATTGGGGAGGGAGGGGCTTGGCTGGGGAGGGGCTTAATTGGGGAGGGGCTGACTTGGGAGGGAGGGGCTTAATTGGGGAGGGAGGGGCTTGTTTTTGGGAGGAGGGATTAATTGGGAGAGAGGGGCTTAATTGGGGAGGGCCTTATTTGAGAGTGGGGTTAAAATGGGAGGGGCTTCATTGGGGAGGGAGGGTGGGAGGGGCTTATTGAGGGTGGGGTTAAAATAGGAGGAGGCTTAATTGGGAGGGAGGGGCTTGTTTGGGGTGGGAGGGGCTTAATTGGGAGGGAGGGCTTATTTGAGGGTGGGGTTAAAATAGGGAGGGGCTTAATTGGGAGGGAGGGGCTTGTTTGGAGTGGGAGGGCTTAATTGGGAGGAGGGGCTTATTTGAGGGTGGGGTTAAAATAGGAGGGGCTTAATTGGGAGGGAGGGGCTTAATTAGGGTGGGAGGGGCTTAATTGGAGGGTGGAGTTAAAATAGGGGAGAGGCTTAAGTGGGAGGGAGGGGCTTGTTTGGGGTGGGAGGGGCTTAATTGGGGAGGGAGGGCTTAATTGGGAGGGAGGGACTTAATTGAGAGTGAGGTTAAAATAGGGAGGGGCTTAATTGGGAGGGAGGGGCTTAATTGGGAGGGAGGGGCTTAATTGGGAGGGAGGGGCTTATTTGAGGGTGGAGTTAAATGGGGAGGGGTTTAATTGGGAGGGGGTAATTGGGGGAGGGGCTTATTTGGGAGGGAGGGGCTTGTTTTGGGGAGGGGTTAATTTGGCGATGGTCTTAATTGGGAGGGAGAAGCTTAATTGGGAGGGAGGGACTTAATTGTGGGAGGGGTTCATTTGGGGAGGGGCTTAATTGGGGAGGGAGGGGCTTAATTGGGGAGGAGGGGCTTAATTGAGGAGGGAGGGCTTGTTTGGGGAGGGGTTACTTTGGGGAAGGTCTTAATTGGGAGGGAGGGGCTTAATTGGGGGTGGGGTTTATTTGGGGAGGGGGCTTAATTGGGGAGGGAGGGGCTAAGTTGGGGAGGGGCTGAAATGGGAGGGGCTAATTTTGGGGAGGGGCTGTTGGGGAGGGGCCTATTTAGGGAGGGGTTCATTTGGGGAGAGGCCAATTGGACGGGGGAGGGGCTAATTTTGGGAGGGGCTGTTGGGGAGGGGTTAACTCGGGAGGGGTCAATTTGAAGGGAGGGGCCAACAGTGGGTGTGTCCATTGTCAAGCCCCTCCTCTAATTGACCCTCCCCCAAACCAGACGGCCCCGAGCTGGAGGCGGAGCCTGAGGAAGGGGCGTGGCCTCCACAGGGGGCGGGGCCACCGCAGGGGGCAGGGGCACCGCAGGGGGCGGGGCCACCGCAGGGGCGGGGGCACCGCAGGGGCGGGGCCACCGCAGGGCGGGGCCTGTCACCGTCCTGGTCCCCGAGGGGCGACGTCGGCGCAGCCTCGGTGCCGGGCCCGGGGAGTGCCGGGGGTGGAGCTGAACTGGGAGAGACTGGGACACCCCCTGGGGAATGGGGAGCTGGGGTGAGGCACTGGGAGGCACTGGGAGGGGATTGGGGGGCACTGGGAGGGACTGGGAGGGGATTGGAGGGCACTGGGAGGGGATTGGGGAGCACTGGGAGGCACTGGAAGGGATTGGGGGGCACTGGGAGGGATTGGGGGCACTGGGGGACTGGGAGCACTGGGCCCAGTTTGACCCAATCCCCTCCCAGTCCCTCCCAGTCCCCTCCAAGTGACTCCCAGTGCTCCCAATGACTTCCAGTGCCCCATCCCAGTCCCCTCCCAGCATAAACCAGTCCATCCCACTCCTCCCCCAGTCCCCTCCCAGTGCCTTCCCAGTCCCCTCCCAGTGCCTCCCCCCAATCCCTCCTCCCAGTGCCCCATCCCAGTTCCTCCCAGTAGTGTACAACGTCCTTCCAGTCTCTCCCAGTTCCTCCCAGTCCCTCCCAGTTCCTCCCAGTCCCTCCCAGTCCCTCCCAATCCCCTCCCAGTCCCTCCCAGTGCCTCCCAATCCCCTCCCAGTCCCTCCCACTGACCCCCACCCCTCCCCCAGTCTGGAATTCCAGTCCCACCAGTGGCGGGAGGGCCCCTGGACCAGTTCCATCCTCACCCTCCCCAACGTCACCGGCGCCCGGAGCCGCCTGCGCCACCAGTTCCACCAGTTCCACCAGTTCCAGCAGTCCCAGCGGGCCCAGGGGGGCGGGGCCACCCCCAGGCCTCGCTACCGGTACCAGAACGTCCCCCAGGGCCCGGACTGGGAGCACTGGGAGCGCTGGGAGGGGGATGGGACCCTCGGGAGCTTCGTCTGCGTCGCCACCAACGGGAGGGGAACGGCCCGGAGGGAAATGAGGCTCAGACTGGGAGGTACTGGGAGGCACTGGGAGGGGACTGGGAGGGACTGGGAGGGGATTGGGAGGGACTGGGAGGGACTGGGAGGGGATTGGGAGGGACTGAGAGGGGCTGGGAGGGCATTGGAAGGAACTGGGAGGTGATTGCGAGGAACTAGGAGAGGATTAGGAGGGACTGGGAGGGACTGGGAGGGGATTGGGAGGCACTGGGAGGCACTGGGAGGTGACTGGGAGGGACTGGGAGGCACTGGGAGGGGACTGGGAGGGGCTGGGAGGGGATTGGAGGGCACTGGGAGGGGAGTGGGAGGGACTGGGAGGTGACTGGGAGGGGCTGGGAGGGGATTGGGAGGGACTGGGGTGATACTGGGATGGACTGGGAGGCTACTGGAACCATACTGGGAGCGCTGGGGATCATGCTGGGATGACATTGGGTGCACTGGGGTGGTACTGGGAGGCACTGGGAGTGGACTGGTAGTTACTGGGAGGGTACTGGGGCCATACTGGGAGCACTGGGGAGATACTGGGAGTTACTGGGCAGATACTGGGAGCACTGGGCAGATACTGGGAGCACTGGGGAGTTACTGGGCACATACTGGGAGCACTGGGCTGACCGCTCCCTCCCCAGACCGTCCCGACCCCCCCCAGTCCCTGCGTCTCTCGGGGGTCTCCCCGACCTCGCTGAGCCTTGAGTGGCACCCGGGCTTCGATGGGGGGCTGCAGCAGCACTTCCTCCTGCGGTAGGGGGCGCCCTTCACCTCCCCCCCCATTTCCCATCCCCTCCCGTGTGTTTGGGGTCGATTCTGGTGGGAAAAAAGTCACTTCCGGTGCAAAAACGTCACTTCCGGTGCCCAAATCACCACTTCCGGTGCTAGCAACCTCACTTTCTGGGCCTGTTGTATCAGTCCCCATCAAAATAACTCCACTTCCGGTGCAAAAGCGTCACTTCCGGTGCTCACAACCTCAATTTCCGGGCCTGTGATATCAGTCCCCATCACAATAGCGTCACTTCCGGTCCAAAAACGTCACTTCCGGTCCAAAAACATCACTTCCGGTGCTAACAATCTCATTTTCTGGGCCTGTTGTATCAGTCCCCATCACAATAACACCACTTCCGGGGTTAAAAAGTCACTTCCGGTGCACAAAACAGCACGTCCGGTGCCAATAACCTCATTTTCTGTGCCAATAATAACGGGTCCCATCAAAATAACCTCACTTCCGGTGCTAAACCGTCACTTCCGGTGCATGCCACACCCCTTCCGGTGATAACAACCTCACTTTCTGGGCCTGTTATATCAGTCCCCCTCAAAATAACTCCACTTCCGGTCCAAAAACGTCACTTCCGGTGCCCAAAACCTCATTTTCTGGGCCAGTTATATAAGTCCCCATCAAAATAGCACCACTTCCGGTGCAAAAACGTCACTTCCGGTGCTAAAACATCACTTCCGGTTATAACAATCTCATTTTCTGGGCCAGTTATATCAGTCCTCATCACAAGAACTCCACTTCCGGTGCTAAAACGTCACTTCCGGTGCTCAATAAAAAACAACTTCCGGTGCCAATAACCTCATTTTCTGTGCCCATAATAACGGGTCCCATCAAAATAACCTCACTTCCGGTGCTAAAACGTCACTTCCGGTGCATGCCACACCCCTTCCGGTGATAACAACCTCACTTTCTGGGCCTGTTATATCAGTCCCCCTCAAAATAACTCCACTTCCGGTCCAAAAGTCACTTCCGGTGCTAACAATCTCATTTTCTGGGCCAGTTATATCAGTCCCCATCACAATAACACCACTTCCGGTGCTAAAACGTCATTTCCGGTGCGCAAAACACAACTTCCGGTGCAAGTAGCATCATTTTCAATGCAAATAATATCAGTTCCAATCAAAGTAGGGTTACTTCCGGGTTTAAACGTCACTTCCGGTGCACAAAACAGCAATTACGGTGCCAATAACTTTACTCTCTGTGCAAATAATATCACTTCCTATCAAAATAACCTCACTTCCGGTGCTAAAACGTTACTTCCGGTGCAAATAACCACACTTTCTGTGCTAGTTATATCAGCCCCTATCTAAATAACCTCACTTCCGGTAACAAAATGTCACTTCCGGTGTACAAATCACCACTTCCGGTGCCCAAAACCTCATTTCTGTGCCGATCATGTCAGTTTCGATCAAAATAACCTCACTTCCTGTTTTAAAACGTCACTTCCGGTGCCAAAAAGTCACTTCCGGTGCACAAAACAGCAATTCCGGTGCCAATAACATCACTTTCCATGCAAATAATATCACTTCCTATCAAAATAACCTCGCTTCCGGTTTTAAACGTCACTTCCGGTGCCAATAACCTGACTTTCCATGCAAATAATGTCAGTTCCTGTCAAAATAACCTCACTTCCGGTGCTAAAACGTCACTTCCGGTGCACAAAACACCACTTCCGGTGCCCCAAACCCCATTTTCTGTGCCGATTATGTCACTTCCTCTCAAAATAACCTCACTTCCGGTTTTCAAATGTCACTTCCGGCGCCAATGACGTCACTTCCTGTGCCCGGCCCATCACTTCCGGTCGGGAATTTCTCCCTTTCGGGGGTTCTTTGGGGGTTTTTCAATCAGTTTTGAGTCCCCTCGTGGCCCCTCCCCCCCCCATTTCCGGTGGGTTTGGTCACTTCCGGTTGGCCCCTCCCCCTTTTTTTGACCCCTTCTTTGACCCCACCCCCTTTTTTATGGACCCTTCCCCCTTTTTTTACCACTCCCTTTTTGTGGCCCCTCCCCTTTGTGGCCCCTCCCCTTTTTTGTGACCCCTCCCCTTTTGTGACCCCCTCCCCTTTTTGTGGCCCCTCCCCTTTTGTGACCCTCCCCTTTTTCCTGACCCTCCCCTTTTTGTGACTCCTCCCCTTTTTGTGACCCCTCCCCTTCTTTGTGACCCTCCCTTTTTGTGACCCCTCCCCTTTTTCGACTCCACCCCCTTTTTGTGACCCCTCCCTTTTTGTGACCCCTCCCCTTTCTGTGACCCCTCCCCTTTTTGTGACCCTCCCTTTTGTGACCCTTCCTTTTGACTCCTCCCCCTTTTTGTGACCCCTCCCCTTTTGGTGACCCCTCCCCTTTTTGTGGCCCCTCCCCTTTTTGTGACCCCTCCCCTTTTGTGACCCTTCCCTTTTGACTCCTCCCCTTTTTGTGATCCCTCCCCTTTTGGTGACCCCTCCCCTTTTGTGGCCCTCCTTTTGACCCTCTTTTGTGACCCCTCCCCTTTTTGTGACTCCTCCCTTTTGGCCCCCTTTTGTGACCCCTCCCCTTTTTGTGACCCCTCCCTTTTTGTGACCCCTCCCTTTTTGTGACCCCTCCCCTTTTTGTGACCCTCCTTTTTGTGACCCCTCCCTTTTTGTGACCCCTCCCTTTTTTGTGACCCCTCCCCTTTTTGTTACTCCTCCCTTTTGTGACCCCCCCTTTGTGACCCCTCCCCGTGACCCTCCCTTTTGTGACCCCTCCCCTTTTTGTGACCCCTCCCCTTTCTTTGACCCCTCCCTTTTTGTGACCCCTCCCCTTTTCTGTGACCCCTCCCCCTTTTGTGGCCCCTCCCTTTTGTGACCCCTCCCCTTTTTGTGACCCCTCCCCTTTTCTGTGACCCCTCCCCTTTTTGTGACCCCTCCCTTTTTGTGACCTCCTTTTTGTGACCCCTCCCTTTTTGTGACCTCTCCCTTTTGTGGCCCCTCCTTTGCGACCCTCCTTTTTGTGACCCCTCCCCTTTTTGTGACCCTTCCCTCTTTCTTGTGACCCTCCCCTTTTGTAACCCTCCCTTTTGTAACCCCTCCCTTTTGTGACCCCTCCCTTTTGTGACCCCTCCCCTTTTTTGGGGCCCTCCCTTTTTGGCCCCTCCCTTTTGTGACCCCTCCCCTTTTTGACCCCTCCTCTTTTGTAGCCCCTCCTTTTTGTGACCCCTCCTTTTGTGACCCCTCCCTTTATTGTGACCCCTCCCTTTTGACCCCTCCTTTTTCTGACCCTCCCCTTTTTTGGAGCCCCTCCTTTTTTTTGGCCCCTCCCTTTTGTGACCCCTCCCCTTTTTGACCCTCCTCTTTTGTAGCCCCTCCTTTTTTGTGACCCTCCCTTTTTGTGACCCCTCCCTATTGTGACCCTCCCTTTTTGACCCCTCCTTTTTGCTACCCCTCCCATTTTGTAGCCCCTCCCCCTTTTTTGTGACCCCTCCTTTTTGTGGCCCTCCCATTTTTGTTACCCCTCCCCTTTTGTGACCCCTCCCCTTTGTGCCCCTCCCCTTTTTTTGTGGCCCTCCCTTTTTGTGACCCTCCCTTTTCCTGACCCCTCCCCTTTTTGCGCCTCCCCTTTTTGTGGTCCCTCCCTTTGTGACCCTCCCTTTTTGTGACCCTTCCCTTTTGTGACTCCTCCACTTTTTGTGACTCCCTCCCCTTTTTGTGACCCTCCCCTTTGATACTCCCTCCTTTTTGTGACCCCTCCTTTTCTGACCCTCCCCTTTTCCTGATCCCTCCCCTTTTTTATGACCCTCCCCTTTTCCTGACCCTCTCTCCTTTCCTGACCCTCTCTTTTGTTGCTCCTCCCTTGTGACCCCTCCTTTTGGCCCTCCCTCTTTTGTGCCCCTCCCCTATTTGTGACCCTCCTTTTATGCCCCCTCCCCTTTTATGACCCCTCCCCTTTTTGACCCCTCCCCTTTGTAACCCTCCCCTTTCTTGACCCTCCTCCTTTGTGACCCCCTCCCTTTTCCGACCCTCCCCCTTTCCTGATTCCTCCTCCTTCCTCCCCCACAGAGCGGAGGCCTGGCGCCCTCCCCTCCGCCTCCCTCCTCACTTCCGCCACGCCCTCACCCTGGGGGTCTCCAGCCGCCACGCCCTATGACGCCACCCTGCGCGCCCCGCAACGCCCGCGACGACAGCGCCCTGTGGATCCGCGCCACCACTGCCGGTAATGATGTCATAAGGGGTAATGACGTCACAGGGGGCAGGGCCACTGAGGCGGGGCCTGGAATGACCCGGTAGTGAACAGGAAGTGATATTTTCCTCCCCCTCAGAGGCCCCCGGAGCCCCTCGCGTCCCCTCCCCGCCGGCAGCGCCCGGCGGCCCGGAGGACTCGGCCCCTCCCGTCCTGCAGGGCGCTGAGCGCGCTGGGCGGGCCTCCTGGCCGTGCTGGGGCGGGGCTTGGATACTGCCGGTGGGGAGGGGCTGGGGAGGAGGCAACAGCGCCCGCGGGACACGCCTGATGTCACCAAGGTGGGGAGGGATGGGGATGGGGAGGGGGAGGTGAGGAGGGTGGGGAGGGGCAAGAGGGTGGGGGAAGGCTAGGAAGGGGTTCAAGAAGGGGAAGAGGCCCTGAGGTGGGGAGGGGCAAGGAGGGTGGGAAGGGTCCCTGAGGTTGGGGGAGGGGCAAGGAGGGTGGAGGAGGGGCAGGAGAGGGATTGGAGGGTGGGGGAGGAACCAGGGGGTGGAGGAGGGGCCCTGAGGGTGGGGGAGGGGCAAGAAGGGATTCGAGGGTGGGGAAGGGTAAGAGGGTGAGGGGAGGTTGGAGAGGGGATTCGAGGGTGGGGGAGGGGCCTGAGGGTGGGGAGGGGTAAGAAGGGATTCAAGGGGGAGGGGCCCTGAGGGTGGGGAGGGGCAGGATAGACGCCCTGAGAGTGGGGAGGGGTCCCCAAAATTGGGGAAGGGGAAAGGGCAGGGGAGGGAAATCCCAGAGAGAGAGGGGGTGGAAAATTGGGGAGGGGTCTCACAAATGCCCTCCCCCTTCTTCCCTCCCCCTCCCCTCCCTCAGGTGACCCCGAGGGTCCTCGAGCCCCAGCGACCTCTGGGACCCTCCCCAGGGTGAGTTTGTTTTGGGGGTGGGGAGGGGTTGAAAGGAGTGGGGAAGAGGCTGGGGTGCCACCCCCTCCCCCGACCTGTGACCCCTCCCCACCCCCTGCAGGTGATTGGTCCCACCCCTACGAGGAGGTGGAGCCTTGGGGGCTGCGAGGAGGTGAGGGGGAGGGTTGGGGGTAGGGGCCTAAAGGTGGGGAGGGGCCAGAGATGATTTTTGAGGTGGGAGGGGCCCTAAGTGGGTGAAGGGGAAGGGTGAGGGTGGGTTTGGGGGGTGGGGGAGGGTAAGGAATGGTTCTTGGGGGTCAAGGATGGGTTAATGGGTGGGGAGGGGCTTTGGGGGGGTCCTTAAAAGTGGGGAGGGGCAGAGATGGGGGAGGGGTCTATGGAAGTGGGGAGGGGTCTCTTAGAAGTGGGGAGGGGTGGGAAATTGGGGAGAGGTTGCAAGGGGCTTTAAAAGTGGGGAGGGGCAGGAAAATGGGGGAAGGGGTGGGAAAAATGGGGAGGGGCAAAAGGGGTTGTCCCTGAAAGTGGGGAGGGGCCAAACCTCTCCCCCGACCTCCCCGACCTCGACCCCTCCCCTCAGGTGCCCCCGAGCCCTCGTGACCCTCAGGGGAGCTCGTGTGAGATTTGGGGGTGGGGAGGGGCTGCCAAAGGCCCCTCCCACCCCCCAAAAACCTTTTTCACCCCCCAATAAACCCCTCCCCCTTTCAATTAACGCCTCTGTTAATGAATTTCTCTTCTATGGGGCATGATGGGAGTTGTAGTTCCAGGGTGGGTGTAAAAACCACCTAAAGAGGCAAAAAAGGGGCATTTCCCGTTGCTAACGAAGCCAAAAAGGGGTTTTTTTTAGGAATTTAAACCCTAAAAATGTGGAATAAAAGAGGGGATTTCATTTCAGTTTAAAATCCAACATGGCGGCCTCTCCGTGAGGGAGGGAAATGGCGGCGGGGCATGATGGGAGTTGTAGTTCTGGGGTGGGAAGAAACCCTCCTAAAGAGGCAAAAAAGGGGCATTTTTGATGAATTTAAACCCTAAAAATGTGGAATAAAAGAGGGGATTTCACCTCAGTTTAAAATCCAACATGGCGGCCTCGCCGTGAGGGAGGGAAATGGCGGTGGGGCATGATGGGAGTTGTAGTTATGAGGTGGGTGTAAAAACCACCTAAAGAGGCAAAAAAGGGGCATTTCCAGCTCCTAATGAAGCAAAAAAGGGGCATTTTCGAGCAGTTTAAACCCTAAAAATGTGGGGAAAAAAGGAGAGGATTCTACCTCAATTTTAAAATCCAACATGGCGGCCGCGCCGTGAGGGCGGGGCATGATGGGAGTTGTAGTTCCGGGGTGAGCGTGGCCTCAATGCCCTTTTATGGGAGCCGCGGGGCATGACGGGATTTGCAGTTCCGGGGTGAGCGTGGCCTCAATGCCCTTTTATGGGAGCCGCGGGGCATGACGGGAGTTGTAGTTCCGGGATAGGCGGGGCCTCAATGCCCTTTTATGGTAGCCGAGGGGCATGATGGGAGTTGTAGTTCGGGGTGGGCGGGACCTCAATGCCCTTTTATGGGAACCGCGGGGCATGACGGGAGTTGTAGTTCCGGGGGTGGGCGGGGCTTCAATGCCCTTTTATGGGAGCCGCGGGGCATGATGGGATTTGTAGTCCCCAAAATGGCCACAACAGAGGATTTTTTGGGGGGTTTTGAGGATTTTGGGGGGTCCCCCAAGGTCAGGGAAGGGATTTGGGACCCCCCCCGACAACCCCAACAAACAGAGAGCTGCGGGGACCAATCAGAGTCTTTATTGTTTAAATTAAGATACAAAACCCCGAGAAAACCCCAAAAAACCAAAAAAAAAAACACCCAAAAAAAAGGCCCCAAAAAGCGCCGCGCGAGGGGCGGGGCTGGACCCATTTTTGGGGGGGGGAGGGTCAGGTTTTTGGGAGGGGGTTGGGGGTCTCTAAGGGGGATGGGGGTCTCTAAGGGGGATGGGGGTCTCCAGGTGGTGTTTTGGGGGGGGTTGGAGGCATCTTGGGGGGGTTTGGGAGCACTGGGTGGGCTCCAGGTTGAGCCCAAAGATTTTCGGGTCCTCCCAGTTGAGTGGAGGGGTCTCGGGGGGCTTTGGGGGCACCTCAACTTCTGGTTGGCCTTCAGGGGTCTTGGTTGGACTTCAGGAGTCTTGGTTGACCTTGACAATTCTTGGTTGACCCACAAAACTCCTGGTTGACCTCCAGGACTCTTGGTTGACCTCCACGAGTCTTGGTTGACCCCCAATACTCTTGGTTGACCTCCAGGACTCTTGGTTGACCTCCACGACTCTTGGTTGACCTCCAGGACTCTTGGTTGACCTCCAGGACTCTTGGTTGACCTTGACAACTCTTGGTTGACCTCCAGGACTCTTGGTTGACCTCCAGGACTCTTGGTTGACCTCCAGAACTCTTGGTTGACCTCCAGGACTCTTGGTTGACCTCCAAAACTCTTGGTTGACCTTGACAACTCTTGGTTGACCTCCAGGACTCTTGGTTGACCTCCAAGACTCTTGGTTGACCTCCAGGACTCTTGGTTGACCTTGACAATTGTTGGTTGACCTCCACGACTCTTGGTTGACCTTGACAACTCTTGGTTGACCTCCACAACTCTTGGTTGACCCACAAAACTCTTGGTTGACCTCCAGGACTCTTGGTTGACCTTGACAACTGTTGGTTGACCTCCACGACTCTTGGTTGACCTTGACAACTCTTGGTTGACCTCCAAGACTCTTGGTTGACCTTGACAACTCTTGGTTGACCTCCACAACTCTTGGTTGACCCACAAAACTCTTGGTTGACCTCCACGACTCTTGGTTGACCCCTAGGACTCTTGGTTGACCTCCACGACTCTTGGTTGACCTCCAGGACTCTTGGTTGACCTTGACAACTCTTGTTTGACTTTCAAGACTCCTGGTTGACTTCCAAGTCTTCTGGTTGACCTCCAAGACTCTTGGTTGACCTCCAGGACTTCCAGTTGACCCCCAAGTCTTCTGGTTGACCTCCAAGTCTTCTGGTTGACCCCCAAGACTCCTGGTTGACCCCCATAACTCTTGGTTAACCCCCATGACTTCTGGTTGACCTCCAAGCCTTCTGGTTGACCCCCATAACTCTTGGTTGACCCCCAAGACTCCTGGTTGACCTCCAAGTCTTCTGGTTGACCCCCAAGTCTTCTGGTTGACCCTCAAGACTCCTGGTTGACCTCCAGGACTTCCAGTTGACCTCCAAGTCTTCTGGTTGACCCCCAAGTCTTCTGGTCGACCCCCACTCCTCCTGGTCAACCCCACACGCCTCCTTCTTGACCCCCCAGCTACCTCCTCCTCAACCAACCACTACCACCTCCACCATCCCCTGGGAACCCCCTCCACCTTCTGGAGACCCCCAAATCTTCACTCTCGAGATCCCCCAAATCTCCACCGCCCAGACCCCCAAATCTCCACTCTTGAGACCTTCAAATCTTCACCCCCCAGACCCCCAAATCTCCACTCTTGAGAGCTTCAAATCTTCACTCTTGAGACCTCCAAATCTCCACCCTCCAGACCCCCAAATCTCCACTCTTGAGACCTCCAAATCTCCACCCTCCAGACCCCCAAATCTCCACTCTTGAGCCTTCCAAATCTTCACTCTTGAGACCTTCAAATCTTCACTCTCAAATCTTCACTCTCAAGACCCCCCAAATCTCCACTCTCGAGACCCCCAAATTTCCACTCTTGAGCCCTCCAAATCTTCACTCTTGTGACCCCCAAATCTTCACCCCCAGACCCCCCAGGACAGGCAGGAGGATCAGGAGGACCAGAAGGAGGGGTAAATCAGTTGAGGAAGCGCCGGCAGCGGCGGGCGCCGCAGTTGCAGGGCAGCTTGGCCGCCGGCTCCTCGATGGGGAACTTGTAGTCGTAGGTGAGCTCCTCGCCGCGCAGGATGCGGCGCAGGGCGAAGATGACGATGCGCTTGTGGCCCTCCACGTGGATGACGCGCGAGTAGCAGTTGGGCTCGCACGAGTGGTTGATGAAGCGCGCGGCGCTGCCGTGCATGGTGGCGTCCACCACCTCCGCCTCGTCGATGCGGAACATGTAGCACCCGATGCCCTGGGGGTGGGAGGGGGACAGGGGGGAGATCGGTCAGGGGTTTGGGGACGTCATTGAGGGGTTGGGGACGCTCATTGAGGGGTTGGGGACACCACTGAGGGGTTGGGGACGTGATCAGGGGTTGGGGACGTCATTGAGGGGTTGGGGACATGGTCAGGGGATTTGGGGACATCATTGAGGGGTTGGGGACAGTCCATTGAGGGGGTTGGGGGACGTCATTGAGGGGTTGGGGGCGTCATTGAGGGGTTGGGGACGTGATCGAGGGGATTTGGGGACATCATTGAGGGGTTGGGGACACTCATTGAGGGGTTGGGGACACCATTGAGGGGTTGGGGACATCATTGGGGGGTTGGGGGCATCCCTGGGGGGTTGGGGACGTCATTGAGGGGTTGGGGACACTAGAGGGGTGGGGACGGGACAGGGGTTGGGGGTGTCATTGAGGGGTTGGGGACGTCATCAGGGGGTTGGGGACATCATTGGGGGGTTGGGGACAGGTAGCACCCGGTGCCCTGAGGGGTTGGGGGACAGGGGGACGTCATTGAGGGGTTGGGGACGTCATTGGGGGGTCTGGGGACGTCATTGAGGGGTTGGGGACGTCATTGAGGGGTTGGGGACACCATTGGAGGGTTGGGGACATCATTGAGGGGTTGGGGACATGGTCAGGGGATTTGGGGACATCACTGAGGGGTTGGGGACAGGTAGCACCTGATGCCCTGGGGATGGGGGGGGAGGGGGAGAGGGGGGACGTCATTGAGGGGTTGGGGACATGGTCGAGGGGATTTGGGGACGTCATTGAGGGGTTGGGGACATCTCTGAGGGGTTGGGGGCATCATTGAGGGGTTGGGGACGTCATTGGGGGGTTGGGGGCATCCCTGGGGGGTTGGGGACGTCATTGAGGGGTTGGGGA